TACCATTCTGGGATCATAATATAGTATCCTTTTTTACATTATACTACATTTGATTTTTTTTTTTTCTTTTAGTATTTTTGCATCTGTTTTCATAAGTTAGGTTTTTAGCCTTTTTTTTTTTTTAAATAAAGGTCGTGTTAGCCTTCTAAAATGTTTGGAGAGTTTTCATTCTCTTTCTATTTTCTGGAAAAATTTGCATAGGTTAGAGTAATTTTAGAATGTTTGATAGAACTAACCAATAAAACCATCAGGGCCTGGAGTTTTCTTTCTGAGAAGATTTTGAGTTACTTACTTTTCTTTAATGGTTATAGGACAATTCAGAGTTGGTTTAGTTTTTTGAAATGGTTTTGGTAAGTTCTAATTTTCCAGAAATCTGTCCATTTCATCCAGATTTTCAAATTATTGGCCTAAAAATATTGGTAATATACTCCTCCTCTTTTTTATTGTCTACATCATCTGTAATGATGTCTACTTTTCCTTTCCTGATATTGGATATTTGTGCTCATCCTTTTTTTTTTTTTTTATAATGCTTGATCAGTCTCAACAAAGCATTTTCAATTTATTTGGTCTTTCAAATAACAAATTTTGGCATTATTGACCCTCTCAATATTATGCTTTTGTTTTGCTTATTTCATTACTTTCTGCTCTTTTATCTATAATTTTCCTTTTTGGGGGGTTGATTCTCTGAGAGATCATTGAGAGAGATCATTGAGAGAGATTGGGGTTGATTCTCTGAGAGACTCTGATTTCTCATTGATTTTCAGCAGGGCTTTAGCTATACTCCACAAGTTTTGATACAAGCATTTTCAATTTCAGTAAATTTCTAATCTTCACTTTTATTTCATCCAAAAGAACTGACACTTTTACTATTATGTAGTGACCTTTTATTCTCTTGTAATGCTTCTTGTGTTAAAGTCTGTGTNATGTTTGAGTTCTAGAGTCTGAATATTATCCATCAGTTCTTTAGAGAAATCTAGCGTTTTCTTTTTAAGTATTGCCTCTGCCTCCTTTTCTGTCCCTTTTTCTTGTGAAATTTCAAAGAAATGTGTGTTAGATCTATTCATTATGTCTTCCATGTCTTTTAATATCTCTTTGGTAGTTTTTAAACCTTTTTTTCCCTCTCTGTTGCATTCTGGATAATTATTTTTGATGTATCTTCCAACATACTCATTCTCTCTTTGGCATGTGTAATCTATTGTTAAACTGTCTATTGAATTTTTCATTTTGGTTAATATATTTTTCAAATCTGTACATTCTGGGATGTTCATATATTTGCAGGATCACTTTTTATTAATTTTCCTATTCCCAGCATATATATTTAGGTTTATATTTTATGTTTTTATTTCTTTTTTGTAATTATATTTTATAATTCCAGTATAAAATTTTGCAGATGTTTTACCGATGTTTGTTTTTTCTTTTGGTTCTCATTTATCATGCATATTTTTATGTGCTTGGTTATTTTTTATTATAGTTCTCATGGTATTTGAAAATTATTTGCAGGGATGCTTTGATGTCTAATATGAAGATGGCTTCCTTTGAACAGATTTGAATTTGCTTATGCCAGGACCCTCTGGGTATTAATACACTAGAGAGCCCTAAACCTATTTTATGGCTTGAGGTTCCCAGAATCAAAGAGCCATTGTGAGCCTCTGCCTCTTACAGAAATGTGCAAGGCTGACACAGTGGCTGCAAATTCTCAAGAATGG